CTATCTATCTATCTATCTATCTATCTATCTATCTATCTATCTATCTAAGACCAGGTCTCACTTTGTTTTCTAGGCTAGCCTGGAATTCACTAAGTAGTCCAGAATGGCCTTAAACTCACATTGTTTCTCCCACCTTAGTCTCCCAAATGTTGGGATTACAGAGACGAACCATCTTGAAAACATCGTTTTTAGGTATAGGAAGTTTGCATTTTGCACAGTTCCACTATATACAAATTTAGCTACTACAGGGTTGGTAAAATTAACACTAGTCCATCAAAACAATTCAAACTTCAGGTTGCCATGGAAAAGTACTTGATTACAATTACTAATAAGTAATTTCATAAAGTAGAAATTGCACCTAGCTCTTCAGTCCACAAATCATTATGGAAATAACAGATGCATATCACGATAATTAGTGAACAATTATATAACTCAGTGAATGGTCACTGCAGAGGACAGCAAAGGAAGTGAACATGTTACTTCCTTTTCTCTTTGTGACTAGTCCATGTGGCATTTTATAGGAAATTGGTTATGACAAAAAGGATATAGATATACAGAGAAAGTGCCATTAGCAAAAATGGAATACTTAAAGGAACTCTGATGAAAATGTTCAAACAAATCCAGACTTAGAGATGTGCATAACCATTTTCTGAGGCATAGAAAAAAAGCATGGTCTATCATAAGTTATACTATGGGAAGAATGGAAGCACAGGCATTGTTCAAACCACTGAGAAGGGTTTTATTTTAAAACAATTTTGTTTGCTATTTTTTGATTCAGGTCCTACTATATAGCCCATGTTGGCCTTGAACCCTCATCCTTGTGATATCTTTGAAGTGTGGGATAACAGGAATATGTCATCACACCCAATCCTCACAAGCTATTCCTTCCCTTTAAATACAAACAAAAATTTTTTTCAATGTTACTGGTGTTTTAAATTATAGTATGTGAAATATTAGCTTTACATTTTTCTAAATATTTACACAAGAAGAGAGCTTTTAGTGTTTTCCCTCTGATTAAGACATCTTTGTGATTCAGGTTGCACAATCATTTTTTTTTTTTTTAGGTCAGTGGAAAATCTAACAAAATTTTGTATATTTTCTCACACATCTACCTTGCTCTGTATTATTAAATGGATTGTGATTCATTTCACTGCAAGTAAAATATTACAAAATATTGACCGGAAAGTATTACAAATAAACACACAAGTCAAGATGCAGTAAGGCTGGGGAGATGAGTCAGTGGATATAAAGTGCTTGCTGAACAAGCAGCTGGGATCCAGTCCCTGAAGCCCACCGAAAGCCACACATCACACATCTGCTAGCCCAGTTCTACCTTCACATAGGAAGGAGTGACAGAAGAATTCCCAGAAGCCTTTGAACTAGCTTGCTTGGCACATGTACTATGAGCAACTAAAAGAAATCCTGTTTCACACAAGATGGAAAGCAAGAACCAACATCTGAGCTTGTTCTATGGCCTTCACATGCAAGCTGTGTGTTGCACACACATGAACATGCACACACACGTATATACACATACATTATACACATAAACACACATTATACAGGCACACAACAAACAATTAAAAAGACAGAAATAAAACTTGCATTTTTCCCTTCAGAAATCTTTAGTGCCCACAACATACAAGAGTTGAAACAAATGAGCAATTAAGTTTCTCCAAAGAAATGGAGAAAAAAATATGGTGGAAAGGATGGTATGGAAGGGAAGGAGTGTTAACAGTAATGCCAGCCAGTTTACACCAATTTATTCTGAATGAAATACCCTCTCTGCAAATTCTAAGAGCAAACTTTAAGATATTCCTTGAACTTAAATTGAAGATGCCCTGAAAGTAGAAGTATCTTTTTCCCTTAAGTTTGATAAAATCCTCTT